ACTACTGCTGTGGAGACCTGGGGGGCTGGATAGATGGCAAACTCAAGCTTGGACTTTTTCCCGTAATCAACAGAGAGTCTCTCCATCAGCAGGGAGGTGAAACCAGAGCCGGTGCCTCCGCCGAATGAGTGGAAGATGAGGAATCCCTGCAGGCCAGTGCATTGATCTGCCTGGAAATTTAATAGTTCACAAATGTTAACGTCAATTAATAATTTATTTAAGCAAAAACAGTTGAAAATACTACAAACATGTACCCTCAGCATTCTCAAACAGTCTCACCAGTTTACGTGTCCTGTCCAGAACAAGATCTATGATCTCCTTGCCGATGGTGTAGTGTCCTCTGGCATAGTTGTTGGCAGCATCCTCCTTTCCTGTAATCAGCTGCTCAGGGTGGAACAGCTGACGGTAGGTTCCTGTGCGCACTTCATCTGGACAACAAAACAATAATAGTGAGTCACTGAATGAGCAATCTGAATGTTCAATTACTCTAACAGCTCTGTGTTGAAATGTTTCTACAAAAGCACAAGGAATCTGTTTTCATCTCCTAATCCCCATTTCCCAAATGCAAAAATCCTCATCCCCCTATCTCATTAAAACTGTAGCCTTGATAATAATTAAACTACATAAACACATGAAAACGTTTAATCTATGTGAGATAATCAGCTTTATAACTGGTACTGACCGATGACAGTGGGTTCCAGGTCGACAAAGATGGCTCTGGGAACATGCTTTCCCGCTCCAGTCTCGCTGAAGAAGGTGTTGAAGGAGTCGTCTCCTCCTCCAGTAGTCTTGTCAGAGGGCATCTGTCCATCTGGCTGGATCCCATGTTCCAGGCAGTACAGCTCCCAGCATGCATTACCGATCTGAGCCCCAGCTTGGCCCACATGAATGGAGATACACTCACGCTGCAGAGAGTGAGTAGCACTACTCAGTTACCAGAAGCATCTGTTCACTTTCCACATTTCTGCCACACATTATTTAACTACTCACATCAAGTTAGATACTGTACCTCACTCTGTCCTTCATGGAGTGATGCAAACAACAAAATAGATTCATTTTTAATATAAAATATCTCACAGTTTAATCAAAACCCTACAGAATGTGCCACAAACTAAACACAGCAACATGCACTCAGAGTAAGTCTCACACTAGCAAACGGTATCTTACCATGATTAATCTCTCTTCTCCAATGTCAAGGTATCGGTAAGAAGATGTAGCGCCAGCGACAGCCGTGATGCTCTGCTTTTATACACCCACGGCTTAAGGTGTACAGAGATTTGATCAGAGCTGTAATCAGAGAAGCTAACGATGAGACCGGGATAAGATCATCCGCTTGACAGACATACGCACAATGCAAAAAGAGGTCACCACCCTGTTCATTGTGTGAGTTTGTGAGTGTTTTGTACCGGTGTGTAAGCAACTCAGATTTCATAAAGCACAACACCAGATGTGGGAATAATGTAGTTTCGCTTGGCAATTTGTGGATGCTTGACTTTATGTTGTAACTCATGACAGGATATTAAAAAAAAACACAAAAATGAACACCTGTTGCTCTGAGGTTGTTTATTAGGTTCAATATTCATGATCAGTATAAGTGATAAAGAAAGAATGAGAGTTGAATTGAAGCGTGATGTGATCTATCTATCTATCTATCTATCTATCTATCTATCTATCTATCTATCTATCTATCTATCTATCTATCTATCTATCTATCTATCTATCTATCATTATCATTTGAAGGATGCATCCAAGCAAATATTTGATATTGATTTGTCATTTCCAAGCAGATTATTACTGCTAGTTGAGAATGCTGACAGGTATTGTACTACATTTATGTGGATATTGAAAAATATGAGAATAGACAATAAAATTTGTGTTATAAATTTAACATTATACAATATATAGCGTGTATGAGACTTGCTCCTTCTTTGTTCATCGGTGTCTTGCAAGCGAGAAACTGTGAATCCCCTCATAAGGTGTCAGCTGACTACATGGTTCAAACAGTAACAACTGCTACACTTAACCACAGAGCACTTGCATGTCCTTCAGATTTTGAAACTCTGAATGCCGTGTCTATCCAATATGCTCTATAGTTCCCAGTTCTTTTTATTATGATCTTCTGTTGGGTAGCCTGTTAGTATCTGCTTCTTTCAGTGAATAATCTTAACTGCTGCTGCATGCCATGGCTTAAAGGCAGAACATTCTGATATTTAAAACGAGTCAAACCACTTTCAAGACCAGCGGATATGCACAGCAATACCTGAGTTCAAACCATGTAGGACTGTATGTTGTTCAATAAGCTCTTGAGCTTTGTGATTCAACACTGAAGCAATCTGTGTGGCCACTTCACTCACAAAACGGCAACTGAAATTCCACTTTGTTATTTATATTTCTCAGCATTGGAACAAGCTCTCTGCGCGGATGATTTCGAGTCTGCTGGTCGTGAATAGAGCTGTGACAGCCCGGAGGCTCAGAGTGATACCACAGCATCGACTGCGCCGCTATTCAGTTTGAGGTCAGTTTCTCTCCCGAGGCTGTGAGACTCATTGGGAACAAACACGGTAATTGATGTTGATATCACATCCCTCGAACACAAACACCTCACAAAGCACGATGGTATAAACTGTACGCAGTGCTATGCCATGTTTAATATACACATATGTAGCACGTGTGGTTATATAACATTTTTTAAATGCCACATAAATGATAATAAATGCTTCATGCTTTATGTTCCATGAGCTGAAATTTCACTGGGAAAGCACACGCCTTACTGTTGTCTTTTTATTTTTTTTCAGGTGTGCTGCCCTCAAAGGTGTTGCCTGAGTCATAAAGCTTTGACCTACTTCCATTGTTGTGAGTCCCCAGCGCCACACAATTTAGTTTTTTCCGCTAATAGGTGATAATAATGCTGGTGCTGCAAGAAGAGAAAGAAACAGAGAGAGAACCAGAGTTGAATGAAAAATTAGATGATAGAGATCATTTGCACCATTCGAGGTCATGACAGATTCAGAGTCAGGTCACTGTTGGACAGTGACACAATTTTCATGCTTGTGCCTCTGTCCACTAATCAGGATGTGATTGAAACGTAGACTTTTATTAAAAAGGTTTGACAAAATTGTACATATCAGAATAACAGTTTAGGAATTACATCCGTTTTAACCTCGTCCTCAATTTTCACAGGCTTAAAAGCAATTAGACAGTTGAATAAAGTGCAGTTTCATAACAAGGTGTGGCCTGTTTTATTGTTATTTCATGACCAATTGAGGAGATAAAAGGTTTGGAGTTGATTTCAAGTGTTAAATTCAGTCGCTGTCCGTGGGAACTGTTGATATGTAGTCGATGGAGGTGTTGCTTTAGGTGATGGAGGTCATTGTCAGACTGAAAAGACAAAAAAACAGACCTATCAGAGAAACAGCAGAAACTTAAGTAGAGGCCAAATCAACAATCTTTCATATTCTTTAAAAGAAGGAACCTCAGCAACACCGAGAGGCCTGGAAGACAACAAAAGGCTGTTTGCAGAAATCTTTCCTCTTTGAAGAAAAACTTAATCATAACACCAAGCCAGGTCAAGATCACTCTTGACAAGGTCGGAGGAGGAGACTCCTTCATGAGTGTGAATACTCACCTCAAGGTGCAAAGAAATGATAACACTCAAGAACAGAAAGGTCAAATTAGACATGGTAGAAGACATGTAAAAAGAGCTTGGCAGGTTTTGCATTAAGATTCTCTGAACAGATGAACTTGTGGCAGAATGATAGGAGGAGGGAGGAGAATTGAGACAGAAAGGAAGGACTTATGATTTTTTTAAAAAAAAAACCTCCTCACCTGTCAAACATGGTGGAGGCAGTGTTGTGACGTGGGCACGTATGGCTGCCACTGGAACCGGGTCACGGATGTCTGCTGAATATGTGACAATGGATAGAAGAAGAAGAAGGATGGATTCTCAAGTTCTGAGCTGAATTTGTAGATAGTTTCTGCTCAGATTCAGATGTTACAAAACTCGTAGGACGACACAGTGCAGATGGATGATGACCCAAAACGTACCGCAAAAGCAACCCTTAAGGCAAAGAAATGAATTGCTCTTAAATAGCTGAGTCAGTCACCTGACCTCAACCCAAGTGAGCAGCTTATCATTCTCTAAAGGCAAAACCAATGGCAGAAAGACCATAAACAAGTAGCGACTAAATGTGGCTGCTGTAAAGGCCTAGAAAAGTCTCTCAAAGGAAGGAGCTTAGCATTTGGTGATGTTCTTGTGTTCCAGGTATTAAAAGATGTTTAGAATTATGTCAGTTCATCCAACATTTTTCAGCCTCTTTCTGTCAAATCTCTTGAGTTAAAGCTGAAAGAAGACTGATTCATATTAAATCCATTTTCATGCACAGAAGCAAAATTACATAAATTATGTCACTGTTCAAATTCTTATGGACCCAGCTGAAAATATGCTGTAATAACTCAGCAAAAACATCGACAAATTCAGCGAGCAAACCACATGGTATATAAATCTACAGATTGGAACATAAAGTTCAGTTTTGCAGAAAGAAGAGCACGGTAGCAAGGTGACGTAATGACTAAGGTATTTTTGCGGGACACGGTCTGGTGGTGAAAGAATGTATTCCACTCTCTCACATGTCACATGAACCGTCTCACTTACTGGCTGGGCGTCTCACGGTGAAGCAACTACGACCTCTAGCTTTCAAAATGTTAAAGTGCCAGCATGAAATTGCAGTGCGTGAAAAGCTGTTATTATGAACTGGTTTGCAGGATGTCCGGCCAACACAAAGACAAGGGAGTGACTGCATAGCTTTACCCTGACCATATGCAGCACTCTCTTTTTATTGCGTCTAGTATTTTGAGTTGAAATGGCAGAATGTGGTTTTTGAAATAACTGTACAATAAGAACATCAATTCAGTAATTTATTGGCAAATCAAAAGAGGGAAAATTGATAGTATGAATGGAATATTTAAATTCCTACAGGTAAAACAGTAAAGTTGCACATCTGTTCTATACATTAACAGGTTTAGTGTTGTATACACAGCTATGATCCACCCTGAAGCCTCTGCAGCAGTTTGTTGTGCGTTCACTGTTTTGTTGTGTGCTATGGATCACTTGTATTGTGTTTAAAAAAAAAAGCTGAGTTTGGTTGATTTTTGGGACTTAAAATGCAAGCAGTGGCACTATGACTCCCAAAACATCTATCAGTGTTTGTCTTGAAGCTGAAATTAGAATTATTCAAAAGTTGCCTAAAGTGAAAGAAATATTCAGATCTTTCACATAAATAAAATACAGAAATGTAAAAAAAAAAAAAAAAGGTTAAAAAAATCAGCATGAAAAATCCAACTTAAGTAAATGTAAACACATAATAGCAGCAACATTTAGCAAAATGTTGAAATAAAATTACTTGTTGGGTCCCTCTGAATGATATATTATTATATATAAAAACATCAGATTATTAATACTGATTTTATTGTTATAGGTGCTGCAGGCGGAGCGAGTTTGAGCTTCCTTATATACAGAAAGACCAGAAAAATTCAAGGGATGCTGAAATGACCAATAAGAGATAAACAAATATGTTTTTAGTTTTAGGGCTCATTTTGTTTTTCTTTTTAATCTTTGTTTATGATGAGTTTTTAAGTCATTTGAACATTCATTGAAATGAAACCACATGAGAAGTTTAGGGTGAAAAAAAAAAAAACACTTTTTTGGTGGAGCTGTTAACAAGTCATACATATCTGAGGACACATTGGTTTTTGTAAGATGTAAGAAGCCAAACAAGTTTAAAGCCACTGGTTTAATAGTTAACAATGTGTTGTTGTTATTTCTTTTTTTAGTTAAAAAATAAAAAAGATGTTGTTTTTTTGCGGGGGGTCCCCTCATATTAAAAGTATAAAAAGTAATGTTAGTATCTCAAAATTGTACTCAAGTACTGTTCCACCACTGTCTGAATCTGTAAAATGTTTTGTTTTTTTAAAAATTATTTTTAAACATGTTAGCTTCCTCAAAATCAGGCTGCTCTTCCCTTTATGATAAAAAAGGGCCATACAGCACAGTTTATGGCTGCAGCAGCAACACAATCTCAGCATCCTGGATGCCGAAAGTGGCCCTGCGCGTTCCACATGCGCGTCCACGTCAGGCAGACAGGTGGGAGTGGTTAGCGTTGGATATAGCGCAGCAGCTCCTCGCCCACCTGGCATTACTCACTCACCCGGACCACATAGACGGCCGCTGTGAGCAGCTCCGGCTAACCACGACTGCAAGCAGCTTTTCTCCCAGAGGTCACTCTCCCCAGACTCTACAATGGTGAGTGTAATCCTGTAGACTGACTGTAGAGAAAGTTCTGCCAACAAATGCTTCCTTAGCAGCCACGGTTTTTATTTATTTATTTATTTTCTTACAGTGTGCGTCAGTAGCCTATTTAAATGTGCTTGGAAAAGTGTGCCAGCTTTACCAAGTGATGCAGCAGTTCTGAGCTGCTCCCTGTGTGGCCTCCTGCAGCAGGACCTCTTGTGTCAGAAATAGCTTCTTCTTCTTCTTTTTTTTTTTTGACTGGCAGTAAAGCTGAGCTGGCTGCTGCCCTGGATGAGCAGGTTCCAATGACTTTTGCTTTGTATTTTAAGCACACCAACAGAGAAAAACAGAACAGATAAAACAGTACATTTGCAGCTATTCTGTCTATAGTGCCAAATACCTGCTTGATTCGCTCACATGGCTTTTTACAGCACCTATAATGTATGTGACGCTGCCAGGTGTGTGCTGACTACTAACATATGTGTCAGTGAGGAATGTAGGTGTGTCTCAAAACACTTCTGCCAACAAGTCAGTTCAGATTGAGGCAACAATTCTGCAGAGCAGGAAATAGTTTTCCCTCCTAAACTCAAGCAGTCATGGTTAACTCGTAACAGTTCCATTAATTCCTGTCACCTGAAGCAGAGATAATCTTGTAGCCTCTGTGACTCATAAAACTACCCATAATAACCTTTTTTTTTAGTCCAGTCAGGAAGTTCGGCCTGCACACGCAACCTTCGTCTTCTGTTTGCACTGTGTAGTATAAACACAGCTTGTTAGCATTGCCAGTGCCGCTTATAAAAACCAAATGGCACCACTGTTTACCGAGTACACCACTGCACCCATGCAGATCAAACAGTCCCCATGTGCAAAATGTACTTCCCGTTTGTCAGTGTAGTAGTTTTAAATCTAACAAGTTAGACTGAATGCATGGCTCAGAGCTGCACAATAAGGATTATTTAGTCTGATCACTGACCGAAAATAAAAGTATATGCAGGACTGCAGGAGAAAAAGATAATTACATATCACAGGCGACATTTATTAATTCACAAACTGTGCCATTGTGCTGGAGGCCAAGTTCAGATTGACAGATCCAGACATGTCATAGAAGTACGAAATTCAAAAGAAAAGCATACTTTGGGAGCTGAATATGCAAATGTCACGCAGCATATTGGGTGCAATGGTGCTTCTAGTTTTGTGCAGCTGAACCGAACAGGCTGTGGCACCAGTAGCCACCATGCAGCTTTTTAACTAGGTCAGCTAGTGTCATTTTTTTTTTTGCAGTTTAAAAACAGCAACAGAGACCTGGAGAGAAACAGGTGCAGGCACATCGTTTGAATCAGACGGCGGCATCACCGCAGGAAAAACCCGGCCGATCTATTATTTATCCAAATCAAGTGTGCGACCCTGAATCTGAGCAGTCCTATGAAACTGCATTGCCTTCTGGGTGTTCTCTAAGAGTTCACAGATGTTATAATTGGATGTAAGGCGCTATGGAGTAAAGGTCCTTCATTGAGCTAAATGGAATCACATAAGGGTCGTGAAAATGTTTCTCAGATAGTAACGTGCAGACCAGCATGAGCGGAAGTGCGACAATGAAAACACTTTATTTTTAATATATGTTCAGAAGAGGAAGTGTTGGGCTGTAGGTGCCAACAGAATGAACATCAAGAGATGGTCACAGTGAGAATCAGTTCATCTGAGAAGGTGAATAACAGTTAATAAAAAATAAATCCACTAGTTGGCTACAAAGTTGGATTTTTTGTCAGATTGTGATGCCACACAAATGTTTGGATCTCAGAAATCATTATAAATCATCCTTGAAGTCATGTAAAAGTCCATATTTAGGATCTTGTAAGGATGGTCTGTAGATGTCTGTATGTTTGTTTATGCTAGGATGTATAGACACAGAACTACTGACCAAAACAAAATAAACTGAATAACATAGATTTTGCTTTTTTTTTCTGCTCTAGTAGTTAACCATGGTCTTCAAAAACATCCAAATTACAGCTTGGATGTGGACAGGTTTCCAGTAAATCTATCCTCACCTTGACTTTATGCTGCATTATGTCCAAAATGTACTGTGACAGTGGAGCATTATCTGCTCCGATGCCTTCTGACCTGAAAAAAAGCTTTTAACAAATTGATTGCTGCCTTCATCTCTTTGATTCCACTCAAACTGTCTCCACCAGAATCCTGACTGTTTATTTCTGCCTTGTACTCACTAACAAAACTGGAATCTCAAGTCAGCGTGGCGGCACTTCAGGCGAGCCCTCGTTGCCGTCATAGCCAGACACACCCGGACAGGTTTAATTGACGTGGAAAATTTGACAGTTGGAGGGAGCTTTGTGTTTGAGGCAAGCCCCGGATTACTGCTCATACATGCAGAGGCATCGATGAAAACGTGTCAGCCCTCGATGGGCACTTTTCATCGATGTGTGGTAAAATTCCACCTGGCAATGACCACTGCTTCAGGGTTCTGACAGACAGTGTTTACAGGAACAGTCAGCCTTTCCAGCTAGGTGTCAGGTTAGCATGAGGAACCTAAAATAGCTGCTGCGTAGAGCTCTGCTAACCTGGAAACCCAGGCAAGTCTGCAGAGGGGCAGGAAAGAAAACGAGATGTAATGTTCTCTGCCCATACAGCATCTTTAGAAACAACAAAAAGAATTGAATATTGTTTTCTTTTTTATTAAATTAGTGAGATTTAGCAAACTACAAAAAATTACTCTCCAGACCACTTTCCCCAGCTGACCCCCCACCTGATCACTGAGAAGGGGAAAGTTGGGGGTGATGTGTAAAAATAGCAGCCAGGGTGTAAATGCAGTGTACCATATGTGACGGGTTGTCACCGTCCTGTGCAGCCGGGTGAACTGAAAGGAGGGTGGTCTGACTGCACTTATTTTAAACCATGACCCAAACAGAGAGGATGTAGCCTCACTAACAGGAACATTACACTAGTTTTGGTCATTCACTGATTAGAAATCACTGAAGTTACATCTCTTCAAATGCAAACACAAGATTATAAATTACATTCTAAACTTATGCAGCAATTTTTAAGACATCACTTTAGACTCTGGTACCCTGACTGTCTGACATGTGTGGATGTTTTTACTGTTTTGAGGGATAAGTGGGCGACACAGATAACAATGTCCAGATGTAATATCATAAAGCTCTTAAATGATTTAAAAGCTGTTCCACTAAACAGAAAAGAATGCCTTGTTTTTACCTAATCCAGCAACCATCATATTGCTTCAAAAATCATTTCGAAACCTGCCACAGAGCAGTCTGCCTGTTAGATTTCCTACAACAGTCCAAGACAACAGACATTTGAAAAGGCTGACTGCCGTTATAAAATATAAAACTGCTGTTGTAAAATCTCTGACAAATTGACTTCATCTCAAGGTTATTTTCATATCACCCAAATCAGGTATGTCAATAAAAACAAAAACCAGCATGTCTAGTGTTTATATGAGTACATTAAAGATGAATGAACTCAGAAGTGATTTGGATTTATGTTGATACCTGTCAGCTTTTATCGATTATCAGACTTAAACAGATTGTCTGAAGGGCCCAATTTAAAAGTAGATGCACAGCTTAAATGTTTTGACTTTTCATTATTTGCCGTCTTCTTACTCTCACAATATTTCATACACTCAAGCAGTACTCTAGAGGCTAATGCAAATACATGATACTGGACATGATATACAGTGTCCAGTTTAAGTGCTGTAGGACTGTTTTGTACCTCCCATGAGAATGCTCTTTTTGTTGAAGCCATCTTCATAGTAAACATATCAAATGCTTAGTAGTTCTCTGAACTCGGCCTCCATTTCAGCTCATGACCAGGCTCAGGAACTCATGACTGCTCCTGGCAGTCACATGAGGAGATCCAGTGACAGCTGCAGCGTATTAGTTTTGCTGTTGCTTTCACCTTCAACCCTTTTTTCTCTCGTGCATTTCTTTGCTTCCACCTAGTGGCAGAGATTCTAAATGACTGCTTTGGATTGTGGCAGCTGTAGTTTGTATTGTGTAAAGTGTGATTATCCTCATGTTTGTGGTATAACTTTGTTTCTTTGCTTCTCTGTCTTACCCTTTTTTCCCCATTATCTCACCGTGTGCCTCTCTTCCTTCTTCTCTTCCAGCGTGAATGCATCTCTGTCCACGTCGGCCAGGCTGGTGTCCAGATGGGCAACACCTGCTGGGAGCTCTACTGTCTAGAGCACGGCATCCAGCCGGATGGCCAAATGCCCAGCCGTAAGCCTGTAGGCGGCCACGACGACTCCTTCACCACCTTCTTCAGCGAGACTGGGGCCGGGAAGTACGTCCCCAGAGCAATCTTTGTTGACCTGGAACCCACTGTCATTGGTCAGTGTCAGAATGTTGCACTTGTAACTATTGAGAATTAGCAATTTCAGAAGGTGGTTGCATCTTTCTATGTGACTCAGATCAGTCAAATGCATTGCAACTGTAAGGCAGTTTTCAGGCAACAACTGAGAATTAAATCCAGTCATCGACACATCACTCCACGATGACGCATTATGTAATGAAGTGAGGAGATTTAGCGAGCTTGAGAAATGATTCATATTCATCATTCATATAAATAATTAATCAAACCACCTGTAAAGGATGAATTAGTATGCTCAACTGTGGTTGTTTTGATATCCCAGATGAAGTGCGAACAGGAACGTACCGTCAGCTCTTTCACCCCGAGCAGCTGATCTCAGGAAAGGAGGATGCAGCTAACAACTACGCCCGAGGACACTACACCATCGGCAAAGAGATCATTGACTCTGTTCTAGACAGGATCCGCAAACTGGTAAGGCACTTAAAGGGAAATCACCGTGTTTTAGTTCATATCCACTTGCAAAAGCGTATTCAGCCGATGGAGAGTTACCCATAGTGCCATCCAGACCTGCACACAGCTTTGCATTCAAACTGCACTCTGCAGTGTTTTAAAGTGACTTTTCACAACTACAGCAGCTGTGTATGGCTTCTATGGACTCTATCCCATCACACTGCCTCTCCACAGGGTTCTAAAGGAAAGTACATGACTTAAATGTCTGAGTAGCTGTTGGCTGTAGGCTTTGAAGGGATAAAGCATCAGATGAGAACATACATGTGATTTTAATGCATGTGAAGGTACTATATGTGCACTGACCACTAAGCTGTTTTCCTGGTTACATAGCTTGGATTGTAATGTGTAACCTTTAGCATCAACTTGGCAAATATTTTAGGAATACACTTTGGCTATACAATGCTGTTCTTTGTTTGTTCTTTGTTATTTTTGAAATAACCGCAGCAGAGAGGAATTACACTTGACAATGATTTGGTTTTCTGAGTAGAATTTTCTTTGCCAGCCTTCCTAATTGTTGCTATGTACTACAGGCTGATCAATGCACTGGTCTCCAAGGATTCTTGGTCTTCCACTCATTCGGCGGAGGCACCGGCTCTGGTTTCACCTCCCTGCTGATGGAGAGACTCTCCGTTGATTACGGAAAGAAGTCCAAGCTTGAGTTTGCCATCTATCCAGCCCCCCAGGTCTCCACAGCAGTAGTGGAGCCTTACAACTCCATCCTGACCACCCACACCACCCTGGAGCACTCTGACTGTGCCTTCATGGTGGACAACGAGGCCATCTATGACATCTGCCGCAGAAACCTCGACATTGAACGCCCATCTTACACCAATCTCAACCGCCTTATCAGCCAGATAGTGTCTTCCATCACAGCCTCGCTTCGCTTTGATGGAGCCCTGAATGTTGACCTGACAGAGTTCCAGACCAACTTGGTGCCCTACCCTCGTATCCACTTCCCTCTGGCCACCTATGCCCCGGTCATCTCCGCTGAGAAAGCCTACCATGAGCAGCTGTCTGTTGCTGAGATCACCAACGCTTGCTTTGAACCAGCCAATCAGATGGTGAAGTGTGATCCACGTCACGGTAAATACATGGCCTGCTGTCTGCTGTATCGTGGAGATGTGGTGCCCAAAGATGTTAATTTTGCCATTGCTGCCATCAAGACCAAGCGCACCATCCAGTTTGTGGACTGGTGTCCCACAGGCTTCAAGGTGGGCATCAACTACCAGCCTCCAACTGTGGTTCCTGGTGGAGACCTGGCCAAGGTGCAGAGGGCTGTGTGCATGTTGAGCAACACCACGGCCATCGCTGAGGCCTGGGCTCGTCTGGACCACAAGTTTGACCTGATGTACGCCAAGAGAGCCTTTGTCCACTGGTACGTTGGGGAGGGAATGGAGGAAGGAGAGTTCTCAGAGGCCAGAGAAGACATGGCTGCCCTGGAGAAAGATTATGAAGAGGTTGGGATCGACTCATTTGAAGAGGATGAAGAAGGAGAGGAATATTAAACAGGCTTAGCTGTCATTCGCCAGTTACTTTCAGGGACAGAAATAGACTTGGGTGTTAGGAATTTATGCAAGGAAAAAGATAAAAAAACAACACTTTGTGCTTTGGTTTCAAGTTCAGAAATATTTGCTTGTTTTTATTTTTCTTTTTAAAATGTAAGAATCTAACTAAGGAGGTGAAGTTATTTTTTTTTCTTGTGCCATCATTTTATTGTTTTTGACAGCTTTTATGTTTATTAATTTGTTGGATCAAAAGAGAAAATATTGTTGCTCAATAAATCCTTCAACGAAACACACTGCCTGTATTTACAAAAGACTCATTTTTCTAGACTTCATGTATCGTCAGTTTATTTCTGTTCTCAATTTCAGGATCACTTTTTTGATACTACATACATCCACTTAAATAGTTGTTTTGTGCAGTTTTACATCTGTGCCAGCAGGGTGCAGTCAAATCCACTTTATGACACCATTTCTATGAACAGGACCAGATCAGTATCTTTTACCACCTCCTCTGAAAGGGAACAGATTTTCAGGGCAATCTAGAATGATGGTTTAATTATGATTTTTATTTTTTTTGTACTCGATTTGATCCAAAAACCATGATACAGACCGAACTGATCTGATAATCAAAAAAATACCCATCATCTTAGAGATTATTCAGTGGGCAATGTTTTGCTTAAAACTAAAGAGCAGCTCTTTTTGCTTTGTGTCTCATCCCCAGTTAAATAGCCCTTAATTAATTCAGCTGAGGCAGAACTCTGTAGGCTATATTATGCATACAGGCCTTCTATCAGTTCATTTGTGAGGGCAGCTCTACAGCGTGTCTCCTACTTTATCCAATTTTTATTTTCATCTAACGTAAACACAAACCAAAACTCTGTGAATATTGTGCTTTGTACTGTGTCCTTAGAAAGTAAATACAGATGGTAGTGCAAGACACATTTGAGGACCCACCATAAAAATAGAAATGATTGAATTTGATACACAAACACACACATGAACACATTAATTTGTATACACAAGGACAGGACATATCACAAACGCTGTTTTTGTATTCAAGTACTTGTAGGTTTAAATTTTTATTCGTACTTTCTAACAAAAGGTTAATTTTAAAGGTTTATTCCACTCCAAATACTCTTTTCTGTGCAAGTAAATATAGTTTTAGAAGGTTTATTCAACCTAAATAGTACCTTTTAATGAGGAAGTTGTGATTTTAAAGGTTTATTTCACCCAAAATACTGCCTTTTGTCTAACTACGTATAGTTTTAGAGGTTTATTCCACCCAAAATATTTACCTTTTGTCTAAGTACTTACAGTTTTAAAGGTATACTCCACCCAAAATACTCTTTTTCGTGCAAGTAAATATAGTTTTAGAAGGTTTATTCAACCTAAATAGTACCTTTTAATGAGGAAGTTGTGATTTTAAAGGTTTATTCCACCCAAAATACGACATTTTGTCTAAGTACTTACAGTATTAAAGGTTTATCCCACCCAAAATACTCTTTTCCGTGCAAGTGAACATAGTTTTAAAGATTTATTTCACCGAAAATACTAATCTTGGTTTAAGTACTTATAGTTCTAAAGGTTTATTCCACCCAAAATACTACCTTTTGTCTAAGTACTTACAGTTAGGTTTATTCCTCCCAAAATACTCTTTTCTGTGCAAGTAAATATAGTTTTAGGTTTATTCAACCTAAATATCACTTTATAACAAATAAGTTGTGGTTTTAAAGGTTTATTCCACCCAAAATACTACCTTTTGTCCAAGTGCTTGTAGTTTTAAAGGTTTATTCCACTCAAAATACTCTTTTCTGTGCAAGTAAATATAGTTTTAAAGGTGTATTCCACCCAAAATACTGCTTTCTGTCCAGGTATATAGACCTTAAAATGTTAATTGCACTCAAATAGCACTGTTCAACAAACGAGCTGTGTTATTAAAGGCTTATTTGACCTAAAATACGACTCTCTGTTCAAGTACTTAAAGGTTTATTTCACCCATATCGTACTTTCTGTCAAACTAGTGTCAGTGTCTGTGGGCTACAGAAGCTAGCTCCCTTTTGTAGACACAAGTGATGCCATCTTATCCGAAACCCCAAAAAAGAGCAAATTAAAACAAGGGTCGTTCACCTGCGGACCTGATTATGCAGCAAACACTGTCTCATTAGTGCTACTAAGAGCCCCTTAAAATGTCATTATTCATAAACGTCGCTCAGGACTCTGCTTCAGGCTACATGTGGATGTTGGTTGCTGGGCAACTGTGCGGACGCTTTTTGGGCTTCCGGATGTGCGTGGCTCAGAGGAAATATGGCGCACAGAGCATTGCATATACCAGTGATATTCCTCGCCTCATCCTACTCTTTTAGCGCACTCTTTTTGTCCCTTTTTGTCGCTCTTGCTGCACTTGAAGCAGTCAACAGCGACACTGCGTTCAGTGCGAGCCACACGGCCACCGCGCCCATCGCTGTCGCTCGGGATCTGCGGTAAGTTCACTGTTACGGTTAGCTTAGCTAGCTATGCTAATTTGGTTACAGGTATCGCTGTCGGTCAGCTGTGAGGGTCATGTTTGTTTGTACGGCGACTACAACTTCGGGTTATGCTTTTGGACGTTGAAGTCTGTGTTTATATCCCGTTTGCCAGACCTAACCGCTTGTGTCAAGCCCTGCAGCGAAAGATGGACCTGACTCCATTGTGAAAGTTGTCAATTTAATGACTTCGTACGTATAAGAACCACAAATCCGTAGTAGATCTTTACATTAATAGGTTTTCCCAAACACTGTGGTGCTGTAGCGAAGTCCGGCGTATAGGTAGTACATTAAGCAGCACTTAATAGAGTTACAGCTTCTTTCATTCACTTAGAGTTCCTCCCTCTTTTCTGCAGAGGTTTAACGACTCCAGTAGACTGCAACGCTGTTAGGGCTCATTTGATCAAAAGTAACGGTACATGGGTAAATTGATTTGTTGAAACAGTACATATATATTAATAAGGAAACTATGTTTGACCAAAATCTATGTTGAAATTTATTGACAGATTCAGCCACCACGGTTGTGCAATCTGATCGAGCAGCTTGCAGGGTTTAAGTGTCCAAGTCCAACAGAAAAGCACATTCCAAAAGAGGAAGGATTTCTAAAAGAGAAAGGATTTCTAAAATGTTTTAAATCATACCTAGCTCTGGAGCCAGGTGTAAACATAATGTGGACCTACATAATGACAGCATGTCCCTGCTTTTTTCCCCCCAAAAATACAACTAAATCGACTCAAGGTTTCTTAATCACCATCCGGTTAGTCTGATGTTGATGTTGATGTAAAGCCACCTGGCCTTCTCCCTTGTGTCCAGTGAACAAAGATCCTGCTGCTGCTTTTTCCCCCCCCCCACTCAGATCTTTTTCTCATGTGCCCTCCTGTCATCTCAGGTACCTTCTGTATGACGTAAACCCCCCAGAGGGTTTCAATCTGCGGAGAGACGTCTACATCCGCATGGCCTCCCTGGTGAAAACTCTGAGGAAGGACGGGCATGACTGGGTGTTGGTGCTTCCCCCATGGGGTCGCCTCTACCACTGGCAGAGCCCCAACATCCACCAGATCCGCATCCCATGGGGAGCGTTCTTCAGCCTCACGAGCCTGCAGGCCAACGTCCCTGTCATCGAGTATGAAGAATTTATTGCTGGTGAGCTTTTGAGTTTAGTCACGTAGACTAGAGGACGTTTGCTGCAAGTCTTTCATTTGTCTGGCATGTTGAAGCTTTACTAATTGTCAATGGCTTATAATACATTAAACTTTTTCTTTTTGTTTTGAAAATGCACCCATTGTTCCTCTTTTGCAGAGAATGGAGGCCCGTTCATAGACCAGGTTCTTGTGCTGCAAAACTATGCTGAGGGATGGACCGATGGCAAATGGGAAGAAAAGGTTGATGAGCGGCCGTGCATTGAGAAGCTGATGTACTCCAAAGACAAACAGGGCTACTACAGGTAACAACAACTCTCAATGTGTCCAGACAGCAGTAGCATTTAATACACGTATAATCCATAAAGAGTCTGAGTTCAACAAAGAAACTTAATTTTAATTACAGGGCAACAACACACAAACCTACGTCAGATCCTGTTAAACAACACTCACAGCTCCCAGTTAATGATTTTCAACTATGTGTTCCGTCTTTAACATCTCCTCATTCATCATCAACTGTCTCATCTATTTTGTCTGTTTCCAAGGGGCTGGTTCTGGGGCTACGAGGAGACAAGAGCTCGAAATGTAACCTGTATATCAGCCCAAGGCCATGCCTCGATCATGGCCCCGGTTCTTCAGAGAAACATCACAGCGATGTGAGTCTACAGAGTAACGCGCTGACATCCAGTTTACTGACGCATACAGTGCACACAGTGTCAGATACCTACAGCTGGTAAAAATGTGACTGTGGCAGGTAGATAAATATTATAGTTGTTGAGTTTCGTGTATTATTCAATACATTTAAATCAGTGTTATTATTTTAATTTATAAATTATAAATGACAGTTTAGAATCACACACCTCCTATAGTGGATTTTTCTTTAAATGATTTGTTTTAATGAATTGAAATATACTTTATACCTGCAAAGCTGAAGGCAGCTAGAAACTTAAAAAAGATTGTTTTATATGTGTCTACAGGCAAATTTAAGAATGAATGTTGTCAGCAGTAAATCTGGTTTAACATTTCAGACTACTGTGACAATGATGTGAAATATCTTTAGTGACGCATCTTGAGGAAATGTTTTTTTCTTTTTGGCTGTTTCAATTAGCAGTAGTATTTCAGGAAAGCCACGGATGACAGATGAGTCAACAAACTACCAAGATGACACCATCTGGATGTAAAACTGTGTCAAAAATGACGATTTTTTTTTTTTGCATAAAAACCTAGTTTTTGATCTTTTCTTTTTGAGTGAGTGAAAGGCGATCTGACGTCATTGTTATTCAAGTGTGGTTTTACTTACAGTTTGTTCTCTCAGATTGGTGACACATACCGACTAAGACTGGTTTGTATCTTGCTCTGTTGCAGATCAGTTATGCTCGACCGAGCCGAGACACTCCTTCATGATCATTACGCTGGCAAAGATTACTGGGATGTAAGTCCGCTGATATGTAATACCTGCACTTGACATGTTGGTGTCACGGGTTAGGTGACATTTTTTCTTTTGTTTTGCTTTTTTGTGGTGTTGTTATTTTTAGTGATGTAAGCTCACGGTCACGTGGATTTTGTTAGATGTAATATTACGCCATAGCCTTGCCGTGTTCTCACTGAAAATAACTTGCAGTGGCAATTGGAATTTTGCATTTTAAAACCAAAGCTTTGAGGCACACTTTGCTCCATGTGAACTGATGAAGTAATCTCTGTTTAATGCAGACCAGACGCAGCATGGTTTTTGCAAAGCACCTGCGAATCATAGGCGACGACTTCAGAGCAAAATACCTGAACTCTACAGATGACAGAGACCATACGATATACAGTGAGGACTGGACTCGCATGAAGGTGAGCCAGTGGGATATTTACCATGTGACCACTTCAATTTACAAGCTGAAACAATACTTAAACAGCTGTCTGCTGCTCCTTTATTTCCTCCTCAGGCCAAGCCCGGCTCAGCTAAAGGCGGTCCATATCTGGGGGTCCACCTGCGCAGGAAGGACTTCATCTGGGGTCACAGAGAGGATGTTCCCAGCCTTAAGGGGGCAGTCAAGAAAATGCGTAGCTTGATGAAGAAACACAAACTTGACAAAGTGTTTGTTGCGACAGATGCCGATGATGAAGGTATGCCAGCACATCTGGAAACAATTTACTGTTGTAGTCACATGATCTTTGAGCATGTGGAAATCTTGGGTAATGCCACTGTGTTCTCATATGTAATAACTGGTTTGTAAATGTTTTCATTTTATTGAAAAAAAAAATCTGATCTATAAGCATCTTGAATATTTTACACAATAAGTATTGACTGTATTAAAAAGGTGATAAAAAGAAAACTGCGTACCAGTTATAATAATAAGTAGAAGCATATCACAACTATGCACAATTTTATAATCGTGTGTAATTTATGTAATCTGGTAGAACTGAAGGAGCTGAAAAAGTTGCTGCCAGACATGGTTCGGTTCGAGCCGTCCGCGGAGGACCTGGAGCTCTTTAAAGATGGAGGAGTGGCCATCATTGACCAGTGGATATGTGCCCACGCCAGGTAAATTCATTTTCAATTGGTTTTGTTATGTATTCAGTACATGTGTGACGACAAGAGGAGCGGATTACTAGACAGCTAGGTATCAGATAATAACAGGAGGTGCATACTTTCTTTGTTTAGGGCTTCTTTTGTTCAGTGCAGGTGCTTTGTGTTTTCAGGGTTTTTTGTTTGATCACTTCTCTTCTAACACGTGTAGATAAGATTTTTAAAAAAGTAGATGCATTTGTGACCCCACCCCCCTCTTTTTTTTAAAAACCAGATATTTTTTTATCAAGCACCATTGGCAAGTAAAAGTTATTTGTCCAGTTCTTAGCTTTATGACCAAATACTTGCCTCATTAGTAGCATCTTCCTCACCTGACGATAGTTAGCAATGTCTTTGTGTGGATGTTGGCATTAGTGCTATTAGTTTGGAGTGCTATTTTACTTCAGCATATATCAACTCTGGACCTGTAACTATATGGACTATTTTGAGTTTTATGTGTTCAGTTTGGGGTTTTGTGCACCTTTCTAAACTACTGAGCAGTCTGAGCGCATAAGGCATAAACATGCCGTGATCAGTCACGAGCTGCACTGCTTAAAGAAAGCTAAACTTTATCACACAGCAGCTGAGCGAGCTCTTAGCACTTTTTCGGGTGGTAATGCTTGAATTTATATCGTCTTGTTTGGTAACATTTAAAATCCGAGGAGGTGGGCGAAGAGCAAAAGTTTCTGTCAATGTTGAACTTGGAGTGGGAGCATGAGACTTATTTCCTGCTGGCACCAGAGTAGACTTAATTCATATTCAACTTACAAAAAAAAAATAAAATCTTGTGCCAGCCAAATGTATTTTTGGCTGGCACGAGATATGATTTAGCCCAAAGCACCACTGTGCAAAAGTTTGTGACTGTTTGTGACTTGTTAAATTGAAGAAACAAAAAAAATCTATATTATGAATGGGTCAGAATATGAAATAGGTAAGTATAGAAATCTAAAATATGCAAATGTGATGTTTTGCAAATGTTTTTAGGCAAAACTTTCTATCTGCTATTGCTGATTCATGTAAGGTGACCAGGTAGGAATGCCTCTTATGTAATCAGCACTGAATGACGTTTCTGCAGCTAGTCATGCCTGCCAAATAAAAACACTTGAAAAACTAGTCAGGGAGACTCGTGCTGTTCTCAATGCATGTCACGTTACCAAGACGTTCTCCATTGTCGACATATTTTCCATCCCTGCCCACTTCAGCTTTCTTTTCTTATGTATTTGCTTGTTTGTTTGTCCTCAGGTTCTTCATAGGAACGTCGGTGTCCACCTTCTCTTTCCGGATCCACGAAGAACGGGAGGTCCTGGGCTTCGACCCCAAAACCACATACAATCGCTTCTGTGGCGACAACGAGAAAGAATGCGAACAGCCCACACACTGGAAAATAGTTTATTGATGTCACCCCTGAGTTTCCTGACACACCAAGTGCCAAAAGCAGTGTTAAAGGTGACCTTTATTTGTATGGAACATAGAAGATATTTGAATTGTTTTTGTGTTTGTTTGTTTGTTTTTTTTTTACATTTTATGGTTTCAGTGTTGTGCAATCAGGTCTGTAGTGACCACTGTGACTGAACTTTATGCTGAAAAGGCCACGACTGGGATGCCAAACATGTGTTACTGTGATGTTCAACGATTAAATCTGCGTATATTTTTAGGTTGTATGTTGAATGTGGATCCTTCACGAGAGCCTGGTAGGTAAAATTATTATTTTTTAATATTTATCTTGTGACGCCAGCACAGCTGGTGAGAAAAGTGTCTTATAAAAGTATTTTGTGGGTGTGTTTTCAGTTTACATTTCATGAGGTTGAAATGATCATGTTCCGTGCTTGGGTGTCCAACCTTTGGGTATTGTAATTTTAAGAATATAAGATTTTTTTTCATTCAAAAATTCTAAAATAGCATTCAGGGATCATAAACAAAGTATGACCGTAATGCATTTTTGATCAACGGTCAACCAGGTAATCCAGTGAGACTAAGCTTGCAGTCAGTGTTTCTTACCAAAAAGCACAGAGGCTTGATAAATGATTTTCCCCTCATAAAACAGCACAACTTTTGCTTTTTATCGTATTTTTATGCAGGATCCAAAACGTATATTTGCTAAATGGCTTTGCTGATGTTGGAGTAGAGAGAGATGTGACTAAAAACAGGTATTCAACATCGCAAATAACAACATTATCAGGATTTTCAGCTTTTTTAAATCCACAGACTTCATATTTTGCGTCGTCCATTGCAGTGTTAATGATAGTAATAATACCTGTGAAAGGAAACTGAAATGGCACAAAGAAGACACACAACACTCGCCAGCCATTAAGCTTGTTATCTCGCAAAACACATTTTTACTAGAGGATGCACAAATTTTGATGAAACCTGTTGCTGGTATGGGCAGAGAAAAACCTGCTTCCCCCTCACTGTGCCAGCTAAAATATCTGGGATATTAATGTTACCATGAGCTGAAGTGACTGAAATAAACAAAAGCACCATGTGAATCATATTCACTCAACATTCCCTGGTCATCCATGTCCCCCAGATTGATAACCACTGGTCTAACTAATGTCATATAGATAAATGAAGGTTGCTGTTGTTTATATTATTTTATTCTTATTCCGCCAACACTACAGTATGTTAACACACTGATATCGACACAACTTCACCAGATTTATTCAACAAATTCAATTTACAAAAATAAAAGATAAGAGAAAAAGTCCAGGAAACTGAAGATTTGTACATCGAAGTTTTGTTTTTCTTTTTTTCCCACCAACTCAATTCATTTCTTCTCCCCTCTGGCAACCCTTCAGATTTACCTGCTGCCTCTGTAACTGTAATTAAGGTAGTTCAAACATATATAAGAAAATGTCAGTCAGAGAAACCAAACTGGTGCAGTTTAATACTTTTTTTTAAACTCAGTTTTCATGCAAGACTTTTACTTGTACTGGAATATTTTCACAATGCTGTACCGCCCATGGATGTATCACATGCAGTAAAGCTACAGTGAGGGTTTCCAGTGTCTCAGCTCTTTCTTTTTAATGTTTCTACACAGAGTTTGACCTCTCTGCTTGTGTGTCTTCAGTCAGCAGAGGAACAAAGAGAGAAAAAGCTCTGACTTATCCGTCAAAATACAGCTATTAATGTGACTCACATGTTGAATGTTGGCGGCTGTGGGTCAGATTCTCTCCTGTGACTTTTTAAAACGCCTGCAGCATCACACGGCAGCAGGAATAATAAGTGGATTTTAAAATTTGAGAGTTTTGTGCACATATGCAAGTGGCACAGCGGCAGTAACTT